CTGTAAAAATAGTAGACCAGATATTTCTGGAATGGAGATGTGACCTGATGGCCATGGAATTTAGAAAGACAAATTTACTAGTTGTCGTCGTTGTCTTCTTTTTGAGTGACATATGAGAAAAAGAATGGCAATGAGCTTTTTCTCAATTCTGTCTAGTCCATATTTTACAAAATTATTCCATTTAATCCTCACAAGAGCCCAAGATGGCAGGTGCTTCTACAGTTGAGGCAATAAGACTCGGAGAGCTTTGGGTCATCCTAGCAACAAATACTTATTGAGCACCATAGGCCAGGGACTCTTCTCAGGTCTGAAGATAGAGCCATGAACAAGGCAGACTGGGCCCTGTTCAGAGTATGCAATGCCAGACAGATGTTAACAAAATTACTGCACAAATTTCATCACTACTGGGATTATTGCTATAAAGGAAAACTGTGAGTATCAGATGGAAAGGGGGTGATGGAGCCTTGTCTTGAGAGTCAGGAAGGGCTCCTCAGAGAAGTGACAGTGGCATCCGTCAGAATGGGCAGCAGCTGCAAGCTGAGGGGGCAGTGGGAAGGAGGGGTGGCTGGAGGCTCCCCCAGATGTCATGTTACTTACTGGTGGGTTGCAGTGTTGCTGGTGGCTAAGAAAGAGTCTGACCCTGCTCAACTAACTTCAGAGAGCTGTGGCCTCTCCTCTCTAGAGGCAGCCTCAGTCCTCACCACTGGTTGGGTGGCTGGTTTTGAAGGATTAAAAGAAAGACCGGTTTAAAATCTAAGGAGTGGCTAATCTCTTTCTTATGTCTCTTACTCAGTGTCTTGTAAATAAGAAAACAGAAATAGTGAAAAATAACACTGTTTCAAGCCACCTGATTTTGCCTAGATTATGGGCTAGCTTGGGCACCTCATAGACTTTACACAGCCTTGTTTCCAGGAAGGCTGCCCTGTACAGAAACCAGGTCACTAAGAGATGCTGGGAACAGATCCACCCTCTCCTTCCCTTCCACCACCCTGGCCCCTTCCCACCAGCTCCAGCTGCAGAGAGACCAAGGAGCGGCTAGGGCTTGTAACAGGCGCGAAAGGGTAGCTAAGGAAGAGACCTATGGAAGACTATGGACCTCCCTTCAAGATGCTTCTTGTCAGGTTCCAGCGCTGTGCCTCATAGTCACTCGAGTCATAAAACACTCTTGGGAAGCCACAAATGATATTCACAACTTACAGATGAAGAAACTGAGGCCCATAGAGAATGATCTGAGCCAGAAAGGGGCTAGAAACTTCCTCAGTATCCCCAGCTGGTAGTGCGAAGGATCACCCAGCACCATGGGTGGGAGAAACCGTAGAGATCCTGCCAAGCACCCTTCTTACAAGCGGAGAAGCCCAGGGATGGTCACGTGGGCGCTGGGTGGCAGAGATTTCTGACTCCGGGCTCATTGTTCATTCCACTCTCCCACAGGACTCCATTGTTAGCTAAATTTTCCTCTGAATTATGAATGAGCAAAAGGCAATTATGTGGGTGCTGTGGGAATGTGCAAGACGAGGGAGATTCACACACATGGTGCAAGTACCTGTGCTGGGGAGGGGGCTGGGACTGCTTTTAAACCCTGACTCATGGCTGTTCCATTTCTGCTAACTGTGGGTTCAGCTTTAGAAACAAGAAGATTTAATTATGCATCCATTCACCACTGGGTTTCACTTTTCATGCCTCCGCAGCCCACCCCACAGCGACAAGCGCAAGCCCGCAGTTCTCCGCGCTGCAGGACGCTGCGGTCCCATAAGGCGCGCAGCGAGCGCGCACTTTGCTCGCCTTGATCCGCGGAGGAGCAAGATTTGTTCAGTCCATCGCGGCTTACCATTGCGCTTACCAGCACATCTGCCTGCCCTGGTTATGTCGGGCTGGACCCATCTGTCTTCCTGACACCTTTGCAGCAGCTGGAAGTGGGGGGAAGGCGGTGGTGTATTTATTTTCTTTCTGAGCACAGAGCGCTGGGTAAAGGCTTTGCAAACCTGCTGCTGGAAAGTTCCATATTTCTTCCTTCTAGAGCGAGTTTATGTGCTTTGGATCAGGAGCAACTCCCAAGGTGTGACTTAGGCTTCCTGCTGCTCTCTGCCTTGTTTGACTAACAGGCTCCCCTAGAAAACACTCCCGCCAGCCTGGCTGCCGTGGCTCCATCCTGGAAAAGTGAAAAAATGCTCGCACCAGGCACCAGATACCACTAACACAGACAGTCACCCCGAGAGCCTCCTCCTTGAGGCCAAACCAGCCCCTCTGCCTGTCCTGCCGGCTGTGGCTGATGGGAAACATCTCCCTGACCTCGCTCAAAGGACCCTAGGATCCTGGGGATGATGCTATTAATTGGTCTGGTTTCTCCCCCTTCCTGTCAAACACAGGAAATTAGATTTGACCTTTGCTCTGATCACTCTAGAATCATTCTTGGACTAAAGACTTCCCGCCTTTGTAGTCAGAGCATCTATTACCGCCCTGATTAACGCCCGTGCTCTGATGGGCGGGCCCCAAAGGCAAATGCGATTTCCGTGATTTCTGGTCCCCATGTTGAGTGCAGATGTCTTTAAATTGAGTGAAATCATCTTTAATAAGCATGCATCAGCATTCAGATGGCTCTGGGGTACATTAACAGTTTCCCAGCAATATGCCCCATGCCAAACCACCTTATGGGACCCTTCCAGATCCAACAAGGAAAAAGCAGGAAAAATCTCAAAGTAAATCCAATTCTCAACCAAACCATTATGTATTTAGGATAGACTCGGAAATGTGATGCTGTTTTTTTCTCAGCACTAATGGAGCACCCGGCACTTCTCAGGCACAGTAACAGGAGAAGGGAAAAAGAGAAGAAAACCACTTTACCCTGAGATTAAAGAAACAAGCAAATGCTTCTCAACTTCTAACTTAGAGTTATTCTGTAGGGAAGCTGCTTCATTATTCAGAGCCTCCACCTTTTCCTAGCCTTAAAATAGGATTAAGGATCACCACTACAAGGCTCTGGTATACAAATTACCTGCTTTTGCAAAGTGTGTTGATTCATTTCACATTTATCAAACCCACATTTCAAATATACTTACTCAGATCCACGGCAGAGTCAAAGTAATGTCTAACACCTGTAATAAGAAGGTCTCTGCCAGGTACAGTGAGCATGTCTGCAACTCCGGCGACTTGGGAGGCTGAGGCAGGAGGATCACAAGTTTGAAGCCAGCCTCAATAACTTAGTCAGGTGCTGTCTCAAAAATTAAAAAAATAATAATAAATAAATAAAAGGGGTTAGGGGTGTAGGTCAGTGGCAATGTACTCCTGGGTTCAATACTAGTACTACAAGAAAAGAAAAAAAAAAAGATCACATTTGTGTTTTTCACTAAACATTTCACCGAGGACCAGGGACATAAATGTCTGTGGAATGAATGGAAGGAATCCTCAGGAAAGTAACATTTAACTGGAGGTTCTAGAAAAGCCCATAAATAATTGTACTACAAAGCAGAATGTGGAAAGCATTCTAAGGTAAGAACAAGTCAAGGTTCAGGATGAAGTGGGGGGGGGCAGGTGACATTCCGACAGCAGGAAGGAGAGTGACATTGTCCACCGGACAGCAGGTGTTACCTGGGCTTCAAGGGCTGTGGGACATCAGTGGGAAGGAGAGATGGCAAATGCCTCTTAGAGACAAGTCAAAGCAGCAGCTGAGAGTGCAGAAGGGAGGCTAGGGGACATCAGGCATAACAGGTGTGCCCAGATGAGGTGCTCAGGAAAGCACAGGAGCAGGCTGGGCACCTCTTCCCTCCCTGGAGCACCTGCTGGCCTGTACCTTTTCAGCCCCCACTCTTGCTCCTCCAGCTGGAGAGTGCTGCTATTTTACATCTGATTATTGAATCATGGCCAAAAAATTACTATCAGGGAGTGGCTCCAGGATCTAACCCTATGTTTCTGCCACCAAAGCTCTTCTCCCTCTCCATCTAGCAAGAAACGGAATTACTGTAACTGGAGATAGCCTTGACCTTGAGGAAAGTGGAGACCCATTGGGAAATCACTGCAGGGGTTGCTAAGAGGTTCTTACCCAAGGTTTGGCAGAGAATGGAAGAGACTAGCACAGGAGGTATCCTCCCAAGAGTGATAATTAAGTGTGGGAGGGGGCAAAGAAGCAGGAGGCGGTTTCAGAAATGGGGGCGATAAGAAGGTGGCTCTAGGGAAAGAGGATGAGTTGATTTGGGACATACACCCCCAAAGCCAACCCTTAAATATTGCCAGGCATCTAGATCATTCCTTTCTCCCTCCCTTCTTCGCCTGGCTTGGCCTCACTTACCTACCGCAAGATCAAGGTAATGTCATTACCATTTCTCCAGGATCAGCTATGGACCAGGCAAAGGGTTAGGCCAAGGAATTCACAGTGTAGTGGAGATTTTCAAGGTCCTCTGACAGCCTTGCAGGACAGTGGGGGCAATGGGTGTGTCCCTGGGGCAGTAAATGAAGTGACACTGTCTTTCTGCATGTGCTCACAAGGCCGGACCACTCACAGTCAAGACTTCCAAGTATAGGGTAGCAGATTTGTCCCACAGAGATGAAGAACCAGGCCCCAAAGGTCCCTCAGTTCTGCCCTGTTTTGATCATCTTTGTGTGAAGCCAAAGGTGGCTGAGAGGGCCCCGAGCCCTTTTACCTCACAGACCTACAGAGGCCACTTTGGACGTTCATCTTGACTCATTTCCCCTGGTCACCAGTCATAGGGGCCCATGGAGAGAACTGAGCAGAAAGGGTCTTGGAAACTCTTGAGTCAGAATGTCAGCCTGTTTGTTGAAGGAGAGCCGTTTTCTGGTGCTTCCTCCCCAGGCCACACAGAGGGCTTTCGCATAGATGGGCAGTGCTGGCTTCCTGTGCCCCGCTGCTCCTGGCAGAGCAGCCACTCGGGACTGGAGGGCACTGAGGACCCCCTCCCAGGCCAGGTGGGGTCAGGCAGCCCCAGGTAGGGGCTGAATCCTCAGTCCTACTGGCTCACGGTCTCCCTGTCTCTGCTCATCCCACTCAGCCTCGAGCCCTTCTCCGGATGCCCAGGATGCCAGACGGCCCAGGAGCAGAAACCCCTCCACCTGGACCGTGGAGGATGTGGTCTGGTTTGTGAGAGACGCCGACCCGCAGGCTCTGGGGCCTCACGTGGAGCTCTTCCGAAAGCATGTACGCAAGGGGTGACCTGGCCAGGACCGGTGGAGTGTTGGGGACATAGAAGGAGGATGCTGGAGGGTCTGGACTGAGCCGGAGGGGTACCCTCTAGGGAGCCCGAGATGAGAGAGACAGCTGCAAACACAGGCTTCTCAGAGCAGAACAACCACTTGGTTTTGTTTTAAGGGATATTTGTCCCATCTGTTCTCTCATTTGGGGCTTCATCGGGAGTGCCTGTTTTCCTGCCTCTCCATCCATCTGTCTGTGCATTCAACAGTCATTTATAGCACACCTACAATTCGCCAGGCGAACTGTAATAGTGCCTGTTCCTAAACTGCTTTGAGAATTAAATGAGAAAATGCACATAAAGTGTTTAGCATGATGTACGGCTCATGGGTAGACCGCAGTTAACAAGTATTGTGACAATTATTTCAGCAATTCTGAATTATGTCAAGATGGTAAATGAATAAAAGGTAAAAATTAAAATATTTTACCTGCCACACTTACCATGTTAGTTCTGTATCGTTACCATAACTAATTACCACAAATAGAGTGGCTGAAACAATCCAAGTTTCTTATCTCACAGTTCCATAGGTCAGGAGCCTGGCCTGGGTCTCCGTGGGCTAAGCTGTAGGGTTGGCAGGACAACGTTCCTTTCTGGATGTTCTAGGGAACATCTATTTACTTGCCTTTTCTGGCATCAAGATCCACTCTCTTTCCTTTGTATCCCCCCAACATCGTCTTTCAAGCCAGTGACATCAAGCTGAATCCTTCTCAGGTTGCCCTCTCCACAGTCCTTCTTCTGATTTTTTTTTTTTTTTGATCCCAGGGATTGAACCCAGGGGTGCTTAACCACTGAGCCACATCCCCAGCTCTTTTTTATATTTTATTTTGAGACAGAGTCTTGCTGCATTGCTACGTGTCTCACTAAGTTGCTGAAGCTGGCTCTGAACTTGCGATCCTCCTGCCTCAGCCTCCAAAGCCACTGGGATCACAGGCATGTGATCCACTGCGCCCCACTCTTCCACTTCTAAGGATCCTTTCGATTACATTGCTCCCATCCCAGAATCCAGGCTGATCTCCCTACTTCAAAGTCAGCTGATTGGCAACTTCATCCCACCCGCAACCTTAGTTCCCTTCACCATGTCACCTAACATGTTCACAGATTCCATAAATTAGGATATAGACATCTTAGAGGGAGAGGAGGGCATTATTCTGTTTGTTACGGTAATAATTTTTCCCCTCCCTAACCCTTATTTTTACTTAATGATTCTGTCATAAAATCACACTCTCAGATCTGAGAATGGTCCTTAACTTGGTACTCACATTTTATCTGGCATATATTTGACTTACCTGACAACAGTGACCAAAGATCAGGGAACACAGGGGAGGCTGCACTTAAACGGACTTGGCAGGAGGCATCTGGCTGTCTTCCCAGGGTGGTAGAAGAGGGTAGGAGTCTAAGAGTGGGATAAAGAGGGAACATTAGGAAATGGGGCTCCTGGGAAGGGCCCACAGATGAGTTTTGCCCCCCCCCCCCCGTCATTGTGTCAGGAACATAGAGAGTGAATGACCAAAAGATGGTGGTCCATCAGTACTGGCTGCTGGATAGACATATGAGAGGGGCTGGTGACCCTTGTTCCTCTGTGTCTCTTCTCCCCACAAGACCACCCAATAGGAGAGCATTACCTTTTGTCTCTAGTGACCTAGTAAACAGCACTCTAGTGAGCAAGGAATCCCAGTCTGGCTAGGTACGTAAATGCCATGTGCATTCTGGAGAGTTACCATTTCCAGAGACAAATCGGAGCTACACCAGGACTTTAAAGAATTGGCTTACTCCCTTAGTAGTTTTGGGGTGAATCAGGCATATTATTTACTGTATACCATCTTGTATAATTCACAAGGCCAAAAAACACCTGAAATTCCTCGTAGAATTGGCAGTTAATCTGTAAATTGGCTAAAAGTATCTGGGCCTCCAAGAAAAGAAGTCAGTGATAAAATGATTGGAAGTCAGGGTCTCATGCCAGCATCTGGAATGGAATGGAGAGACAACCTCTGGTTTCCGGTATAATGGATTTCACTTTTTGCTCTGTTATCCCTTGATTGGATGACAAACACCATCCGTGGGATATTGGGAACATAGGTGGGGTTATGGTGGATACCTTCAACCAGGAATATTCAATTTAGCAGATGATTCCAGGAGGATAATGGGAAGAGAAGCACAGAGTATTTGTTTGCTTTAATTTTTCTAAGGATCTTGCTCTGTAAATAAACCCATTTGCTCTTGCTACATCCCCTGAGCATACCTTAACTTAAGCAACCATCTGATTACTCTATCTCCTGGGTTTTCTTTTCTTTTTCTTCTTTATTTTCTGATTCTTTCCACCAGGAGATTGATGGCAATGCCCTATTGTTGCTGAAGAGTGACATGATCATGAAGTACCTAGGCCTGAAGCTGGGACCCGCGCTGAAACTCTGCTACCACATTGACAAGCTGAAACAAGCCAAGTTCTGAAGATCTTTAAAAGATAGAAGCTGAACCCAAGACAACGAACTCAAGACTATCTTCTGCCTTACCAACATCCAGCCAACATCATGAAATAGGTTCTCTTCTTAAAATTAACAGCCACAATGACTTGGTTTTTTTTTTTTATAGAAAGAGTGTATCTTCGCCTTTAAAAAAAAAAAAAAATCTACCTGGCTCTTTTTAAAAGGCTCATCTATGTTAATGATTTGCCAAAAAATATTACCAAAAGCCTATTATTTTTAACATTCCTTGATTTGTTGGTCACTCTTAGAGTGGGTGCTATCTGTATAATGAGAGAGAGTGGGGAACTGAATGCTGTCACCTAAGGAGAGCCCCGGAGGGTTCCAAGGATGTGAGAAGGACTTGTCCCTGCAGGGACATCCACCTCAGCACCGCCTGCCTCTGTTCTCACCCAGGGACCCATCAGTGTGAGCCTTGCTGGATTCAGCTCTGAGGGTGACTGCCTCGCCTTGCACTATCTGGAAAACTTGAATTCTTTTGCTTTCTGAAAAAGAGGAAGAAAGATCTTTTCTATTCGCACTTATCTGAAGTACTGTGTTGTCCCACTAGAGGGCAGACTGCTAATGAAATTTCAGGACCCTTGACTGCAGCCAGATGCTTATTCAGAACTCAGTGTCTGGCCTGGGGTTTCTTTGAATAAAATCTAGCCTATACAGGGAATTTATCCCACACATTGCAACTTGGGAAGAAATTGTCATCTAGAGGGTTCTAATTCACATCCAAGCATTATTGACTGACTGATACACAACAGCAAAGGAAAGAATTTGGAAGCTCGCTCTGCCCAGATGGGGCTTTAGAGTTCCTTCCTTTCCAGAGTCCTTACTGAGGTGTTGATGTGTTGTCATGTCGAAGAATCTTAGTGACATTTAGCCATGGGTGTTTCTTGAAAAAAAGGAAAAGAAAAATGTCTTAACTAAATTTTGAAAATGGAGAGTGTTGATTTCTAGTTGCATTGCTAGATTCTGTAGTCGTATCTGTGGCTAATTTTTCTAATCCTCAACAAATACACAGACACGCTATTATTGGGTTTAATTCAATTTACAAATAGGTTTTCCTTCCTCACCGTGAAGTAATAGAAAAAGAATTGATTTTCTACCCCTATGCAGCTGTGTCCAGAGAAGGACGATGAATTCAGAGTTTACTAGGCAGAAGGATATCCTCTTCTCTGCTATTTATTTTTTTTTGTATTATTCTCCTTTCTCTCTCTTTTTTCTTTCGTTTCCTCACTGAATAGGAAACATATCCTCAAAATAAATTCACCTTTTTGATGGGCATGTCCTCTTCCTTAAAAGAACATCTACAGTGTTAGAGATGAAGAGGTGAATATTAGACCTTGCAATCCTTAGGAGGATGCAGGTCAAGAAGAACTCAGGGCCTCTCTGGGCCCAAATTTGAATTAGAAAAGGCACAGCTTCCTCCAGGATGCAGCCTGAGAGGGGTCTCAGCTGGCAAGTACAGCCAGGTAGGATCTCAGCTCCCTTACCCCTCCACCAGCTGCCCTTGTATGGAACATGACCTGTATGGCCTTGAGGGTGACCTTGATTGGATTTGCATATGGACTGTCTATGAATCAGAATTTAGATGAGGACCATAAGAAATATTGCATGCCACCTTATTGGGGCCCACTTTGCTGAGAAACATTTGAGAAAGCACATCATAGAAAAATCTCTTTTAGACACACAAGCAGTGGCTAGATATAGAGTTTGACAGAGGGGAGGGAAAAAAAATGTTCCAACCCTACCCATGAAATTGAGCAGACAGTGGAAGATTTTCATGTATGTTGGTTTCAGCACAAAACAAAACTGCCCCACATGAGGCCTTGGGTTAGATGTTGAAGTGAGTAACCGATTCTGTCCCTTAAAAGTTTGTTAATGCAAAGTGCTCACTCTGAAGTTAGATAACTTCCTTCAAGAAGCTGGACAGTTGATGTATTCAGAACTGCCAGTGTGAAAACTAGGAGATCCAGAAAATATCCCATGACAACCCAGGTCCTTCACTTTTGTGGGTTTGGTCCAGCCCACGGATATTTATGGTGCCTCTCCTACCAACATATGCTTCCTTTAGACTTTCACATTAAGATCTCAAAATATCTTAACCACCCTCACCAGTGCTTCTCTGGCTACAAACACACAAACAATGGTGCCCTCAAGTTCAAATCAGTTCCAAACCATGTCACAGAGATACCTTGGGTAGTTTTCAAGGGGGAGAGATGTTCCTATTTCAAGCCTAGGGGAAAACTGGAACTGGGTTCCCACGCAACTGCTCTCACCCAGGTGCTGTTTCATTTCACATGAAACTTTCAACAGGCCAGATTGCTGAAGCCATGATATTTAAGGTTTGACTTAAAAAAAAAAAAAAAAATCTCACTACTCTTAAAATGAATGCTGCCACATCAGAAAAGAACCTGGGGAAGAAATTCTTCTTGCCTGTTTTTGTACCGACATGCAATTAGCTGACCAAATTATTGTGGCAATACTGTAATTATAATTAATTTTCATCCCTCTCAAAAATCTTGTCAAACCAGGCAGCTAAATAGCTTCTCAAATGTAAAACACACCAGGCCATTTTTCTGTAAACAGACTTTAAACGGTCAGGCCATTGGGGTCACACTGGCCCAAATGAAAGCTACTTGGGGGCCTCAACTTGACAGATAACAGTATTTGTTATTCCAYGGCGGTAGCTTGCCTTCAGGTTGTAGTGAATAATGATATAGTTTTGCATAATTCCAAATTAAAGTGTGTGTGTGTGTGTGTTCATGTTCCAAACATTTCCAATTATACTTGTCTGTTAAACACTTGAAAAAAAGTTGAGACAATTCTGTTGCCTAAGGCATTTTAAATATTTTATGAAGCACATAATTCCCTTTGTGAAGACTTTAAGTAAAAGATGTGTGTGTGTGTGTGTGTGTGTGTGTGTGTGTGTGTATCTCCTGCCATTGTAGTCAGAGAGCCTTAGGAAGTGAGACTGTATCAGTGATTTGCATATGCTTGGGTTAAAATGTCTCCCCAGCCTTTCAACAGAAGCAGAGCCCCTGAAGTCTTCCTATGGTTGTTATCTCTAAGTGTTGTGCCCTCTTATGCCAGCAGGGTGCGCCTTAGAGGCACCTGGGTGACAGGGTTGGTTCTGGGGTTCTGGGCCTATCCTCCTCAGGCAGCTGACTGGACATGCCATGCCTGGGCTTCAGGGTGACCAAGGAGAGGCCTCATGGGGGACCTCAGGCAAGGGACACTTGTCTGCCTCATTTAGGGTCTACCAGAGAGGACACTGGGTTTCCATGATTTCCCTTCAACAGGCTGCCAGGGATTTTTCCTTTCAACAGAAAAAAAAAAAAAAAGGATTGAAGAACCCCTCAGGAGAATCACATATGATATTAAATACGTGGGAAGGAATACTGGGCTGAGGTTGGTTTGCTTAAGAAGGAAACCAGCAAGAAAGGAAATAAAACCATAAATTCCTTAGGCAAATAATAAAAGAGTAGTTATTCTAATCTATCCTGATCCATGATTTGGCAATAACCTATTTTCATATTTATGTGATGTATGGGATATTTCTTATTTTTCTAATTAAAATTGTTTTTTAAAGTATTTTCTGAGATTGCTTTAGGAGAATTTTGTCAAATCTCTGAATACAACTGGAAATGCCCAAAGGTAACCAGGGACTAAAAATTAGTCATTGTCAAATGTCTTGAAAGATGGAAATATCTGCTCTCTTTCTAAAGAAATGGCTAAGGATTTGTATATGTAAAGCAGGAGGTGAGAACCATCTGATGTGTGCTCAAAAAAGGACACCCTTCCTAACTCTTCTCCAGAGTGGGTAGAGGAGGGGCTTTGACACACATTTTGTTCTATGAGGTTTATTAGGGCTGGGTGTAGCTCAGTGGTAGAATGCTGGCTGCCTAGCGTGTGTGAGACTCTCCGGGTTCAACCTCCAGCACTGGAGGGGGGAAAAGCAAAGACACAGGACTGTGTAGGAGTAGATCATTTTAAAATGCGACATTTTGTTAAGGAGAAGGATGCAAACTGTCCTTTTTTTTTTTTTTTTTTTGGTCATAAACACACCCTAAGAACTGAGCACTTGCCCAGCTCTCCTGTTGTCTTGCCATGTGGTTACATCCCTGTGGCATGAGAGGACCACACTGAGAACCCCTGAGGGGAATCCAGCAGATGGTCAGACATCCAGAGACCTAGACATTCCTGTTTCCATTCTGAGATGTTAAACTCAGCAGCAGCATCTGCCCACCCCATCCCCCTGTGGGCCCTGCAGGGGCTCCCACAGTGTCACTCCCTCAGAGGGCTATCCAAGAGGATCCCTTCACGGACAATTGGAAGCTGGATTTTTGGAAATCTAGCATTTACTTGAAAGAGAATCGCTCTTATTTATTGCCACTAGTTAAAGATTATGGAAACATGTCTGCTAACAATTTGCTTTGTGTAATTTGTTCTAATGCTAATAAGCAACAGCTGGGACACTTCCTGTGGTAAATTCCTTTGTGGTTACAGTGGTATCATCACACACGGACTTCACCAAAATGCTATACTTGGGAAGAACACTCGCTCCTGCTCTCCCAGGCTTTAGGAAATTCCCCTCACTGAGAAGCAGCACTGGGCCACAGCGTATTTTTAGAGGATCATTTGCTTTTCTTCACTCTCTGCTTTCCCAAGATGGGCCCCAGACCTGTGCTCTTAAAATCCTACATCACTCCTGGGGGTTCTTGGCACACTTAGCTTGGAGTTTGATTTCCTACAGAGGAAAAGATGGAAGGTACAGCTTAAGAAGGACACCTTCCTCCATTTCATGGCTGGACAAGGGCGCTGGACCATGAATTGATATCTGCAGGAGACACGCCCCAGAGCCCAGAGCTGAGCGCTGATTCAGTAATCAATTGAATAATGATGCCTGATGTATAGGGACAGCAACATCTTTCTGTCCAGAGTCAACATGTACAACTCAGACTTGCTCTCAGCTGC